GTGTGGTGGTGGGGTGGGGTTTAACGTGGCACTTACCACCTGCATGGCAGAACTTCTTGGAGGATGTGGTTCTATGAGCAGTTGAGAAGGGGTCTGTCCAAAACTTCGTATTTGAGCTTCAACAGCCTGGAAAAGGCACAGGCAGGTTTGCATGTTAAGAGGTGCTAATTACAGGCAATAGAACCATAACTGTCACCTGAAAATGTCATTCCACACTTCTGGCTTGTTTCATGTTGAAAATCAACCCCGTGTGTTCACTGTGGGGCTAAGTGCTTGGCACTGGTACTAAGAATGAGGTAATCATTTTAGTACTGTGGATGCTATTTCCATGAGAAACTCTGCAAAACTTCATCCTGCTCAATGATATTAAACAGAAACCAGCTATTATAATCAGAAACCCTCTTTATTGGCTCCATTTTTCCTTTCTAACACTGGCTTATCCTGTTTATATCATAACTCAGAAACAAAAGCTAATTTTTAAAAAGTTTCTCTAGGTATTAAGAGTGTTCCCATTTCTATCTAAACTCCAGTGCTTAGTTTCACAGTAATAACTACAACGAAAGCTACACAGAGCTTTTTTTCTTATTTTTATTTTTATTCAAAGAGAGCAAAAAAATTTAGGATGCATTAAACTACCAACAGCAAGACCAATACTAAATGCAGCTAAAGGAGGGCGTGAAGATATAATGCAACAAATTTTTTTTAAAAAGTTTCTATCATCAGCAACATGCTTTCTCACGCTTAGTGGTTTCTCAAAAATAATTATTCTGAAACGTGTGAACTTCTACCTCTTGCCTAGGCATGTCCAACTAGTTTTCCGTGTTGCCACCTATTGGCGCACCAGCTCAAAGGTAAAATCAAGCAGCCAAAATTCAACAAGTTATTTCTTGTCTAGCCCTGCACTATTCAGAAACATGCCAATACTACAGAAAAACCACTAGCCACTTCTTAGCTACTAGAACACCATATTTTCCCCCAGAGATTCTTTTTTTTTCATGGTCCAATGTACCTTGAGGCTCCTTACACTTATATTTCCTCTTCTATTTTAGCCACTCATTAACATTTTTGAGACAATGCAATAACACGTATGCTGATCTTATTCTTACAAACAACTACTTTTAGATAATAATAAAGACTATTACTTGGACACACAATATTCTCCTGTTACAGAAATAACAAAACCAAAAATAGAATGCACCCTAGGCTGTAAGATCACCAAAATAATCAGCCTCCGATAGGAAGCCTGCCATCCAAACCACTCGATGTTATTACATTTGGCAGGGCTTTTGAAACAGCTGAACTCACCAGAACTGGAGTTGGAATGACGCTATGGACAGATTCTAACACTCCTGCCCACTCTGGGAAGCACCCTAATCTTCAAAGAACTGGTGAATAGTCCCTCTGTCAAAAAGCTGCCTGGGATCTGACACCCAAACGCCGTGATTCAACGCGTGCTTTTTGACAAACAGCAATATCAGATCTGTGAAACACTAAAGCACAGGAAGACCATCAGAGTCCCCTCCCGAGTGATGAGACCTGCTACATTAAAATTCAAATATGGGCTTCTGTGACTCCAGATATCAAGAGAATCACAGGGGCACAGAATTTGAGGCCCTTTAAGAGATGAGGCATTAACTGGCCAGCAGCTCTACCCTCTCCATAAAAAGCTGTTAGTTTCCAAACATCCAGATTAAAAAGACTTGCCTCCATTTACTTGCAGATTGAGTGGAATATTTTTCCTGGCAAATGGGAATTCCGCGTTGCACTGAGGGTAGAACCAGAAGAGCACAGGAGGAGCAGAATGCAGACAGTCCTGCATGTCGTTATTTTGTGCTTGTTAAAACCTTTCAGGCAAATAGACTACAGGATCTACTATTTATTTCCTATAAAATATATATCCAATATATTATCCAAAATGAATAAAATATTTCTGCAGCACAATAGATAAGATGAGGAAACAATAACCTTCAGATTTGTTAACTTCCTTGTACATTGACTCACTGTGAATATAGAAACTTCCCTCCCAAACAGCCCATGTTCAGCTTTTAAAGGGAGTCACCGTTTTGTCTTACCCATGAGATCTACTATGTCATCTACTGGAAGAGACATAGTTCTGATTCCACTGCTTAGTCACATTTATGATGCTCATCTTTATCACACGCCTGGACTGTACAAAAGCAGCAGCACAACAACTCCCACCCGCCCTCAGTGCAAAAGATAATCCCTCTGGGATATTAAAAACAAGTGTAAATATTCTACCCAACCTCTATGCAGACAGTTGCTGCCTGTCTTCACATCGTGTTCTGTCGGAACTGGGGACACCAGTGACCAATGGGACAAGATTTTGCCAAAGCCGGCCTTCGAGGACCACAAATTCTCCATCTTCAGTCTTGGACAGTTTCTTACATCCATGTTTATGACCGAGCTTGAGTCTGGGATTTACAGTTCCGGCACAAACAAGTCTTTTAAACTCATTAGGTTCCATCTGGTCCTTCCAAAAAATACAAGTGCCTAAATTTCCAGGAATACAATAGTCCACAGCCACAATCTTTCCCTTGTAGCCAACAGAACCGGGAAAATCTACACTCAGATCACATCCTAAAACATTCACATTCACTAAACATCAGAACTGCACACAGAGTAAAGGCACAGATATTGCTATCTGTCCTCTTTACTGCACGTCTTCAGAGGGCCAAAAGAAAACTGAAAAACTCTTGAGTAGAGGCAACAACACTTGACCATTATGTCTAGACACAGCAGCTAGACTTTGGCATAAAAGCCATTTGCATTCCTTTTAATTACCAAGAAAAAAAGTAAAGATTTCTTTATTCAGCTTCAACATTTCTTAATTACGACCAAGACAGTCTACTAGAAACCCCAAATGATTCCTTCCTTCTCCCAGACGGTATTCAAAGTCAATCCAGATGTCACTGGACATCAGCTCCATGTTCTGATGATGTCTCAGTCGGAAGGATCACATCCAGAAGGATGCAAGATGACCTC